AACTGATTATTTAACTCTTCCTTATTTTCTCATATCTAATTATTAACTGGCTGTGTCATTCTGGCAGTCTTTCTCTGCCTCAGTTTCTTCTTCTATAAAATGGGAAAGATAGTACATACATCATAGAATTATTGTTAGAATTGTTTTCCAATTGATTTTGGCTTTTCTCATTCCTATCTCTTCATAAATTTTATTTTATAAATTGCTCTAAATTAGCTTTCCTAAAACATCTCTAATATTATAATTCTCCAGATATGATAACCAGTTTGATACTCTCTGTTGCCCATGGCATACAATTTGGACTCCTCCTTCTGACACCTCCAGTTTCAGACCTAACTTACCCTTGTGTATTCCAGTACTCACTGACTGACTGAGTTCCAATCTATCTGAACCACATGCCTGGCTTGGGATAGAACTCATCATAATGTCTTTAGTTTTCCTTCACTTTTTCTGGAGTACTCTCAAATATATTTCCTCTTACAAAAAATCCTGCCTATTATTGGAAGGCAGTTCCAATACTGGGATCTTCGCCATATCGACTTCTTTGGTCTCTCAGCTGTGATCTTTCCTAGTTCAGATCTCACACCACTAAATGGCATTGTACTCTCTTCACATATTCCTCATACTCTATATTCTAGGCAGAGTTAGATACATATCTAGAGTACTTGATTGAGAGTTTTCAGGGCAGGGACTAGATCAAATTTTACTATGAATTCTTCTCCTACTTTCCCATGACACCTAACAGAGTACTCTGCACATAGAAGATATTCTGTAAATATATTTTCTTAGGGAAACATTGTGGCAGAACAGAAAGAACCCAGGCATTTGAGTCAAAAAAGTCATAGATTTGAAGACTGAAATAAATATTGTTTGACCCTGAACAACTTAAAATATGGGAGTCCCATTGTCTTTATCTGTAAAAAGGGTAATATTATCGTCTACTTTTCAGGCGGGATGGAAGGATTATATATGATGCATGTAAAACATTCATAATATGCCTGGGTGTAGTAGATGCTCAATAAATATTTTCCTTTTTGTTTTAAGTAACAAAACTTATTTCTCCTATTGTCTACCATAAAAAGTGTGGCAGTACATGTGAGATTGATCACTGTGTATAGGTGAGGAGAGTTGACTTTCAATAAACAGCATTGTGTTTTCTTGGGAAAAAATTACCACTGCCTTTGGAAAAGATGTCTTGGATACATTATAGCCATAGGCAGGTAGTTTCCTCACTTGCATCTGTCAACTATTCCTTCTCTGAAATACTCCTCTCAATAGTACTGTTGGAGTATATGCAGTAGACAGTAGATGAAGGTAGTAATAGCCAAAACTAAAAATAAAAAAAGACTTGTCACTTTCATCTATTAAGTATTAGATTGATTTATTCATTTAGGCAACAAGTAGTTCAAGACTTTAACTCTATGTAGATAATGCTAGTAGATACAGTATTGAACATAAAACATTGCACTATCAGCAAACTTGGTGTTTGGGACAGGAAGATAAAATGCATACATAAATGGCAATGTGAAAAAAGATGCATGAGTAAGGTATTAAGGTTGTGATTCAGTGCAACTCTGGAGCCAAACTTATGTGGTGGCCACAGAAGAACACTGCGTTTTGAAACCTCGCATCCCCAAAGGTATACCATATTCTTCATCTGGCTTCTGAGTTTAGATTACTATAATGGTATGTGAATGTGCTTAGGCTGATAGAAAGGAAATTGGGATTAGCCCCAAGCCTGTGTTATGGATTAAGATAAACAGAAATAAAATTTTTCCCGCTCAAGTTCCTGGACAACAAATAGACCTGTAACTCAAATCAGACACACATTTGAAAAAGCACAGGATTCCCCTGTAGTTTATATTCATTTCTATGTGAGATTAAATAGAAGGCAAGCATAACACTCAAAATATGGAGAATTGACCATTTTTGAATAAAGGAATTTCACAGTACTGCTATAAAACAAAGCAGGCAGTCCTTCCATGTTTCTGTTTTGTTAAAATATGTATTTCATCTTTTATCTGTTTGAAATGGTGGCTGCAATTTAGTAAATGCCACCGATTTAGTTTAGATTTTATTGTTACAGTGTTACAGTTTTGATAGCACTGGGCATTTTTTCCTGTTAGTTTGTTCTTCTGCTTTCAAGATTGGTATTTAATCAGTGTCCTAGCTCATTCGATGTGTCTTGCTTATAGATCCCTCTGCACTAGAGAGAAGAACCAAGTCTTCTCAAAGCTGACAGTTGTCCTGGGGATTTACAACTGATCATGTTCAATGTGGGGGAAATTTGACCTTTCATACATTCTTTTCCATAACTGTTTCAGGGGAAAACAATATTAGTTTTGATGGAGCCAGTGCATGGCACATAGTAGGTATTCAATGTGTTTTTAAAATAGGTTTTAATACAGCAAAATGTTTGCTATGTTATACTTTGAAATGTGCTTGTTTTGAACAAACTCAGGTGTCATAGTACAAAATTATCAGTGTTACAGTTCAGTGGAATTGCTAATAGGTCACATCACGTTTAAGAAATTAAAATATTTTTAAAGATTTGCTATTAGAAGAAACCATAATAAGGGCATAGAAAGAAAACACCACAGTCTGGTTAGCAATCTATTTTTAAAATTACTGCAATTATTTTGGAAGACATAAGTTAAGATTTTTTTACTTCGTGGCATCTTCCTGATCACGTACCTGCCATAGGGTTATAAAATGAAAGGAGTTTTACTATGTAATGTAATGTAGTCACAGTCTTTTATGTTAAGCAAAATTTGATTGTGAAAACTAATATGCAGAGTGTAACATTTTCTTTAATAACTTGGAGTTATTTCCAGGTGGTATCGAAGAGTAGTGTGCTGATAGTAAAGAACGTGGGACTCTCCAGGAACAAATGACTTGACAAAATGGTTATACACTTCTTCCTAATACATTTTTGTGTGTGTGTGATTGTTTGTGTATATTGGGAGGTATTTGCATTAGTTAATTATTTCTTTTCCTAGTTTTTGTCACCTTTATATGTGCTTAGTGAAGCTTGCTATAAATTATTTAGGCCTGAACTGAAGGTTAATGTCATTGTAACCAGCCAAACTTGACGTACCCCGATGCAGCTTTGTGCGGGAGGCACCTATGGCTTGATAGCTGTGTGAAACTGTTGCCTACAGAGATGGGCTCTTGACACTGTCTGCCAGCCTGAGGCTGTCCGCTTTGTGTCTGCTTTAATTGAAAATTAATAGTTAGGGGGTTGCTATGGAAATGATACCATTGCTTGCAGACAGCAAACCCAGCTTTTTGCAAAGAGACACTAGTGGTATTGTTT